TTTTTATTAATTATCAGCGGCCACAAAATTATGATATATCGAAATTAATCTTCCTCTAAACGGAAAATATTAATTTTCTATCTTCGATAAATTATATGCTTTCATTAACCCTAAAATATCGAGCGTAACAAACGTAGTCAAACGAGTAGATATCGATCTTTACAGTCATTGAGAATTTTTGAAATTTTTATTAATTATCGGCAGCCACAAAATTATGATATATCGATATTGGACATCTATAACCGAAACAAAATGAACGTCCATCTCATTTAAAATAATAACGCAACTACATTTTCGAAGAAACGTCTGACGCGCGCGTGTACACGTCTATCGCAATTGGTAATGCAATTATGAACAGTTGTCGTGGCGAGACGCACTTCACCTTCTGAGACATTCAGAGGTTCGAATACCGGTGGGGAGGAGCACGAAACGCGAATGCAATCGAGGCCGGGTCGAGGCGCGGTTCAGCCTCGACTCGGTTAAGTACACTTTATTAAGCATGCCATCTGCACGTTGCGCCATCCACTTATGTGGTAAATGGAATTACAAACGCATCCCTATGCTGCGGGATCCCAGGTTGCGGCTCACACCTTGCGTTCACAATGAGCGCGCATACGTTCGGGCTAACTGTTGTATATAGCATCGTAATTGAATAACAGTTGGAAATTCGTAGTCGGCAACGACGATTAGCGCCGGGGAGAAAAATTGATACAGAACGCGCGCCGTGCTTTATAATGAAAATATTTATTTTGCAGAAGGCTCTTTTTTTTATTACGCGAGACCCTTTTTTGGCAGCCGTAACATGCGTCATATTACCATTTCAATCTAATCTTTTGATACCATTGTGAACGCGCTGCTCTGATGGAACGCCAATTCTCGGTTGAGCGTGAGTCACGATTTTCTGACGGATTTGATTGATCGCATTGTGGTTGCAGTCCACGTTGCAGAAAATCCACATAAAAGAGAAAGCGCGGACTGGCCCGGCTACAATGATTTAGAGCGATGCTATCTACGGGCACGAGCGATTTTGCTGATAACAAACTTCCACTCGCTTTATTCGGCGGACCACTCGTTCCCGCGCTCGCGATCTCCGCGAAATCGATGAAGAATTTATCGAACGTAACCGCGGTCGCGAAGCCTGCAAATTCCGCATCGCGGCCGAATTCGGACGAGCCTCGGCGAGATCGGCAAATTATTCGGCCGTGAGAGGAGCCGCCGTTTATCAAACTCTGCCGAGTATGTATGTGTGTACGTGTTGCCGGTCTATCGAAGACAGGTTCGTTGATTTATTAAATTGCCGCGCCAAGCGAGAGAAGAAAAGAGAGAGAAAGAGAGGGAGAGAGATCCATTAAGAGGAAACGTGGTCAAGCGAGATGTTGCGGCGCAGCGCGACGTCATCGTCGCACCTTCTCGCGATGGGATCGAAGACAAAATTATTAAAGTTCGTCGTACAAGCGTGCACCTTCGATATTTACGCTCATAGTCGGCGACTATATGAGTTTCCGGCAAATACCGCGTCGTCCGTCGAAGCTGATGAAAAGAGACTTGTTTACTCGCCTGCTGATTTTCGAAGTATGACGCGATGCTGCAAAACTCGCGAGCGAGAAACATCCACGCGAAGGGCCCCCGTGTATACAAACTGCCCGGTTTTCAACGAGAGAGCTCCCGCTTTATCAGTGGGATGGATGAGTCCTGTTTGTCCGCAAGAGTTCAATAATCGGTATGATATTGCGCCAAGTATAAATACAGCTTAGAGCAACGTGGTTATTTTTACGTTATTTTTCCGTCTGTTTATCCATTTACTTAGTACAAAAGGAGCAGAGGCTCACTTACTGTGATTTTTTTCTAAAGGCTCCGCACAAGGGAATAGCCACTTAATGTAATCGTGGAACAGTGTCTCCGAAATCATTATGAAATCCCCATGTAATTCTTTTGCCTTTATTTTTAAGTTTCTCCACTTGTTGGACGATAAACATTGAAATAAACATTTTCTCAACTTGAAAAAGATTTGAGGAAATCTAACAGCTCTCTGAGATTTAACAACGTCACATATTTTTAAACGTGCCTATAAGAAAATTATTTGTAATCAGATGAAATCGTATGAATTCAAATGAAATCATGTAATCGGCGGGACAACATTTTAGCTAGCGGTTACCCCCTTGGCTCCGCATCGAACTTCGGCTCGGCGAAAAATACGAAATTATATCCAATTTGATTTACGCTTGTGTGCCGTAACTGACTACCGTGTGCACTCTTTCGCATAATTATCTCGACGTGAGGTACAGCGCAACGTAATCATTTATACGCGAGAAAGAAAACCGTTTAGATGCACTACCAGTTGATTTCCCACGACGTACGAAAATTGCGCTGGGAAAAATCGCTCGTCGACCTTCATCTTTCGCGCACTGTGCGAGTCATAATTTTGTACTAAGCGAGCCCATCTTTTCTCCAGTCCGCGCTGTGCAAATAGTGCACCGGGAGTTTCCAGCGCCGCTGCGGCAGCGGCAGCTCTGAAACAATAATTAATTAGCTGCCTCGCAAGGAAGCAAAGCACGGCGAGGAGAACGATGATCGCAGATGTTGCACGTCGGTAACGACGACCCGTAGAGACGTACAAGCATCCCTGCCGTTGCAGAGGTAAGTTGCAGACGGATGCTGTTCTCTATAACCGGGAGCCGAACGGAAACATCTTTCGATCATGCATTGATAATTAAGCTAATGTAATTAATAATGTACGTAGAAGGGGAAAGTGCCAATGTGAGCCACAAAATGAACAGAATTCAGTTCTCACACAATAAAAGTCAGAATTTCTCTTTAATAAGAAACAAACGTTTCGACCCTTCTTCGGGTCTTCTTTAGTGAAACTCGTTCAAGCCGAATAAAATATAATGCAAAATCTTAGGAAATCAGCGCACCATGTGACTTCAGAGTCATCCTTCTATCTGTGCTAGTATCAGTGAGTCCCCATATGGTCCCAGACATAAAGAGGACTGAATAACACAACTCGACAGAGTGACGGTTTTATTAATCAATTTTTTTATTCAATTTCTTGCAATAACATTTTGCCGTACAATGTATGGTTTCCACGTAAAATTGAAGCGAAGAGTTTTTTAAATATCCATTTTATTCGATATTGAAACACTACAACGATTTACATAGAAATTCTTACTCGATATATTTAGTAAGCTTAGCGGAAAATATTCCATAAGCGAGTGAGAAAATTTACTGATGATATAAGCTACTGTTATATGCTTGTATAATATGTTATCATACACGTTTTCTTCGCGATTACAAGCTTTGAATGCTTCTGTGACACGTAAATCTCACGTGCAGTACGATTCCTCATAAGTTCTTCAAATCTTTCTGTCAATATTCTTCTATCAAGTTCCCTCAGGGGAACGAAATGATTTATTCTAGCGTAAACTGTATATAACGTTATTTAAGCTTCCTAAGTGCCCATCTACAATAGATTTAAACCCTAAACCTTAACAAATTGACTAATCACAGTCGCGTATTTTACTCATACTTGACCGTGATTGGTCCATTCTTAAGGCTTAGTTTAAATTATCTATTGTAGACTGGGACTAAGATTTTATACCATTTCGAAACGGTGCCTAGCAAAATAAGGAGGGGGAGCTTTTCGTTAAGGGAGCTCTGATCTTTGGCGAGAAGCCACCTCGAGATCCTTTCTTCCACGACACAGTCGGTGCTCGATCGATGTTGACGACCAGACCAATCGACCATTAAGTATATCCCAGGTCGCGCGCAAAAAGAACACGGTAGGCAATCAATCTTCCATACGTCGAAGTCTTGTAGACGCTACCTCGCGTCTCTCATGACGACGTGGAGGAAAACAGGAGGCGATGTCGGGGCCGCGGAAGAAACGTTGCGGGATGAGCGAACCTTGGGCGTCGTCGCCGCAAAAAGTTGTCAGTCCTCGACGATAGAGGAGAGACCGTTTGGAAGCGGCGTCTAGCGTCGGAGAAAACGACTCCTTGCTCTTCGGCAATTCGCGTCTAGTCGAGCAACATCGATTTGTCTCTCGATTCGTCGAACGTCGAGGCGTTACGGCAATTTAACGGGTTCGATATCTCTGATTTCAGGTAGCAGCGAGGAATCGAGGGCCGGTGGCGGTGATCCTGGAAAGCTGGGGGTGAAGAAATCGAGACCGAAGGCCTCCTCGCCGAACAGGCAGGGACCACAGCAGTGTCAGGTGAGCGTACCCTCAGAAAGGATTTCTGTTACCGAGACCAAAAATATTCTTGACGCATTTATACTTCTCGCAACCTCATCCCTTTCTAAAAAGTTATAGATGTTACCAGCGCGATTGTCGTTAATATCGAACAGGCCTCTTTTCCGCGATGTCGATTGGTCTTCTCGAAGCGCGGTGTGCTTCACTTCTCTTTTAGATTTATAGTAAATGAAGATTTGCAATTTAGAAATATACATTTGTATACACCAACTATTAAGGTGACATCTCTAATCTTAGTAATTATAATAGAATTTAAGTAACAACGATTTCTGTTTCGAAATATGTTCTCGATTAAACAGAATTGATCGTTAATTTAATCAATACCTACAAGTCCGCAGAATGATACGCAAAACGTAGTAACAGTTACGAACAAAGTAATATAAAATATTAATAAGTACAAAATTTACAAATTCGTAGACGGGACAACGGATTCTCAACGTTCGTAGTTGTTTTTCTCTCGGCGCGGTGACGTATAGTGTTTTTGCGTGTATCTGAAAATCGTGTATCTGAAGGTCGCTCGCTCTCACTCGCTCGCCGAACGTCGTGCCGGCAGGCAGCAGCGAGAGTCGCTCCGTGCGTGTGAATTACTTTCGCTTATTACTTTTGCGTTATCGGTTTCCAAGACTCGATCGCGATAAATGCAGGGATAAAACGCTATTGATTTGGACACCTTTATCAGTAACAAGTAACGTTCCTCGATTAATTATCAAGTTTCTGCAACTTGTAATGAGAAACAATTTACAAGTTGTGGGTGACGGCTCTTTATCAACTCATCTAAAATATGAATGTAAACCGTGGTACTTTGTCGCGGTTACATCTCGTGTACGCACCGCCCTTTTAATTATCTATCGGTTTCGTGTAATCTGTTCTATTTTCGGGAAAAAAAAAGAAATTTGTGCGACTTCGGCGTTCGCGCTGTAATTCGCTCTGTCGTTCTTCGTAACTCGAAGGGGCAGGAAGTAAAGAAAGGCGCTTATTGCACGTTGCGGACTAATAACTACTTCTTTACCGCAGATTATGCTTCCGATGCTCGCGTTGCACTTTATATCGCCAATTCAAAAGTGATTTATCCCAATATTCTTCCGAATAAAAAATGCAAGTGGTTAGTTTGAGTAATTTATATGACAGAACGTCACGCGATATTTGTTAACAATATTTCGTGCGTTTCGTGGTATTTCACATCGCGTACGGAAGTGTCCGAAATTTCGCGCGATCGATGATTTTCGCGAGTGAGTGTTGTGTCAGTGCAACAAGGATATCTGAGAGGAGGAGGAAGCCAAGGAGGCATCGGGCAACGACAGAGAAATGGTGAGGTAAGTATCTTACATTTTTATGTTACTTGCTACTTGTGCGTAATACATTTGTTCTGTATTTTTGTTTGACTTATTCAAATGATTCGAACGAGGATTCGAATAAGTGTTAGAGACAAAACCATACGTATAAAATTTTGTGAGCTTATATGTAAACGAAAGACTTTTTCAGTATTCTATATATAGTTATTTTAATAAATAATTATTTAAAAAATATAAAATATAAAGTATGTTTAATACAGTAATTTCGATATTATAATTATTCTATACTAATCATATACATTTTTGTACTTTTACAGTTTACCATACATATACAGTTAACGATGTACAACGCTGCTATTGCGAATCGTATCAGTGAGTGATAAATTATCTTTTATTTTAAAGTGACGTTGCACATACAATTACTTCTTTGCGTGTATAAAAGTTTTTCAAATGCACAATGCCCAACTACAAACTGCGCGCGCGAAGCGCGCGTTTTGTCATTTCTAGTTTAGTATAAAAATAAGATGAAATCAAAATAAAATCAATAATTTTTATTCTCCTCTATCGAAGTAAAAAAGATTGACTTACTATATTGAAACAGGAGTAACTTATATAAATGTAAGTGTATATATTCATGCGTTTAGAATAAATTTTCCCTCCATCTTACAACGCACGAAGTTGGCAGCTCGATATTCGACGAAAGACGATACCTATTATCATTTTATTTTAGATTTTAGAATTTTTCATTTAAGATTAAAATCGAGGGGGAAACCGCTGACCAAAATTTTGTACACCAATGTCCACTAATTTTATCTTATTTTATGTTTATAATGCCCCAGCTAGGCCTAATGCCCAAACTAATGCCCAAAAAATGCCTAGTAATGCCCAGTAATGCCGCAAATCTGTACACCACAATGCCCTCAGCGGTTTCCCCTTCGATTAAAATATTTCTTTCTCTATAATAAATATGATTGGCGCTATATCGAACCTATCTTATGATACATTATTATATGTATATATAGTAATAGCATTGGATCCGGAAATTTTTTTCTGTGGGTGCGAGGATGAAGAAGCCGACGAGATGAATCGTTGCACCTTAGACTGAAATCAAATTCTCACGAATAACGTGCGTCTCGGCCGAACGTGTAAAGAAATTGAGCTGATTAAATTAATTCAACGAAGAAACGTTAATTTTATCTGAGCAGTTTCTTTTTGTAGCAGTCAATTGATTAAAATTGTAGACTTTTCCGTAGTTTTATCTATTCTCTTGTAGATTCTATTTTTTCAAAGTCAGTATTGCTTTGCTGCGATCCCTGAATATAGTTATGCAGAAACATTAATAATTTTGATGGAATGATATTGGCACTTGTTACGTGATCTGTAACAGATGAGCGGGATAGATTGTCATTCGAATTTCATTCAAATTGGCTCTTCCGCAGCGGTAGTACGATTGCTCACATGTGCATGAAGAATATTTATGCAATTACTATCAATCAGAATATCCAGCTGCCAACGTGACAACGTCGAGCGCGCTTCATAGCAATCGTGCACCCTTCGACGAGATATCTCTGCGTAATGAAATTTGTTCGCTAATTATTTGCCTAACACTGACTCGTACAGTTTTGAAGCCACTCGCAATTTTTTAAAATCCTGAGCCGTCTTTCGCTCGGTAGAAAAAAAAATCGCGTTCCATTACCAATTATTATCACGCGCACCCTCATTTTACCTTAATAAAATTACTCGGATAGTCTTAATTAGACTGCCGTACCGGGAACATTTTTAAATACTCTCTTGTGTACGTACACACGCACTTGTTTAAATTACGCGCACGCATTATGCAGCTACATACGTTCTTGACGAGCGCGGTTCTTTTTTTCACCAGTATGTTTTAATTAAATCTGAAATCACTCGCGGAAATAACGAAAACGTAGCGCGCTTGTACGTAAACTGACATTAGATAATTGTCTCTGTCAATTGATTTAAAGTTCGCTGAAATAAAGTGTTCAACAATTTCGCGCGCGAGTCGGAAGTTGGTCCGATTCAAACTGATAATTGCGCCGTTCTTTAATTACTCGTGCATCGCGAAATTATATAACTACTTTTTTTTACAGTCTATTTTCCCCGTTTCTGTTATGCAATTTCGCGATGGTACCACACGGACCTACGTTTTGTTTAAACGGCCCTCTGACGTCCCCCCTCCGCCCCGCTGTGCTCTATTTTAACAGTTAGTTTCCTTTCGAAAGCACGCAGCGACAAAGAGCATTTTCACGGGGAAGAACGAGGCGACGGTTCGTTAGCGACCGATCGAGTTAGACGACCACGATCGATGACCACGGGGGTGTGCTCGAAAACCGTAGCGCGAGGCCGCAAAATTCGTGCTAACCCGCCCCATTCTCTACCCCCTGTGTGTCTGCCCCGTTCCGTCCCTTTCGCCCGCGGCCGGAACGAGTCGAAATGGCGCCATCGAACGCTAACGATGCTGACCCACTTTCCGCTCCGCGCCGGCGCGCTTGTTGCGGAAAGCCACGGCGTGCGGGGGATGCGCTCCTCTCGCATCCGTGACGTGCAATCCGTACGAGCTTTCGCACGCACGCGGCATTTTTACGACGGCCCTTCGTGGTCCGCGCTGTATTCGCGGACCCCCGCGTATTACACGTCCGTGCGCCTTCGGACTTCTTTTTTCTTTATGACGTGGTTATTTCCCTTTCCGACTTGAAGCGCAGCAAATTACATGCAGGCGCTCCGACGCTAAGCGCGAGGCGCATCCCGAGAATTTATTATCACCGCCGGAGCGTTCTATTTTATCCGCGATCCGGCGTCTTTTGAGTCTCCCGAACGCACGCGGAATTTGATATCGGCGGGATAGAAGAAATTAGACACTCGTTCTCCCCGCGGCTCTTTTGCCAATTCAGATGGGGAGCGCGAAGAACAATCTTATCGATTCGTGTATCACCCGCGGTGCTTCTACGTGACAGTTTCCCCGCACGTATTCGCACCCCCCTGAGTGTAGATAAAATGGAAATGAACTTTAATCGGCCGATTTCGAATTGACGCGACTGCAATTTATTCGTACGCGGCGACAGCGCAAAATGGCAGGCGGCGGCAGCCTTGATTCGAGCGCGGCTCAATCTCCTTGTTCCAGCCCCCCTCGTGACCCACATTAAGACGCAACGGTCTCGGCGCTAAAGTGCCAGGCGGTTGTCGGCGCTGTTTATACACGCGGTACACGCTCGCGCGCGTGCAAGCACGGGCGCGGGCGTCGCGTCGCGTCGTGGCCCGTGTGCCGTGTGTGGAAAGGCTGTTGAATATTCAGGCGACGCCGGCGCGAGCCTCGAGCAGGCAGGGCAAACACGACGGCACCCCCGTGATGTAACACACGAACGCGATATACCCGCCCCCGCGCCCTCTCCACCGCTCGTCGTCCGTGCGCTCGACCGATTTAGGCGTGCCTCGTGGTGGTATTTAGGAGCTAACCCCTTCAGAACCCGCCACCTTCGCTGATTGATCCGCTCTCCCCCCTCCCCGTCGTTGATCGCGCGGTCTATGTACGCTCCCGGGCTTTTGACTGAGGAAAACCACTTTGCTCCTCAAGCTCGTAGATTCGTATTCTCGTTGCGAGCTTAGCAGTCAGATATGTTGGCCCATTCTGAAATCTTATTTACCTGGTAT